ACTTCAACGTATGGTGAGACCGGCTTGGATTCGTTCTGCGCATGTTGCCAGCCTTCAGTGGGAAAACTCTGGACTGCGACTCTGGACTGCCCTAACAATGAAGTCCGATCGACAAACTTTTTCGAGATTAGAGCGTGTCGCTGTCGACAGTTCAAGTGTGTTTCTGAGCAAGACAAAAGCGGAATGGAAGAGATTAACGAAAAAGGTCAAGTTGTGGACGTCAACCAACAGAGTGTCGGCCGAAGACGTCGCCGTTAATCAATTACAGGGGAAGGACTGGGTCAAATTATCAACTATCTCACAAATTCTTAACCTTATATGATGGGGGAGTTAATGTTTAATAAAAATGTACCGAATATGTAAATGGTTTGATCGTTTTTCTTCGTGGCGTGATCTTGAGTTTTCTTACTTGCACGCTGTTGTATGTCCCGCTTACATGCGTGCGCGTTTTTTATCCCTTCAACCACTTACACACAGGAAAAAACACCCCTTTCCAATTTTTATTCTTTTAGTTATAAACATGCGTGATATTCTGTCCTTTAATTGGCCTTGAAGATCGGAATCGAAAACACGCAATTTGTTTTAAATTGTCTAGAGCTGTCCTTCAGCATTTACAATTTTGGTTGATCAACTAAATGCTTTCGTTATTGATTGATAACAATTGTACATGAATTTCGCATTATATTTTGAACGGTAACTGGTGGTGTCGCCCTATTGCGAGTTCGCTTAACCACCGTTGGACCCCCGCCTTAGCCAGTTCGCCCTTGAATCAATCTACTCGTTTTTAAATCCTCTCCTTTCGAAAGCGTTGACTTTTTGTTCTCTCCGAGTGAAAGGCTTGACTGTGAAAGGACACTATGAAAGGCTGGGCGCAACGACGCACGATTTGTAGTACTTTTTACGAAATACGTACGTTGGTCAGGTTTATGGTGGTTCCGCCACATTGGAAGTTCACCTCCTACCACCTTTACCATTAGCCCCCAAATCTTTCGACTAATTTCCTTGCCACAGAACGTATTCATTTCCTGTCGAAAAAATGATTTGTTAGGACCAACACGCAATTTCACAGGGAAGCCATAACAAGTCTCAATCAACATGCAAATTCCTAGCCGTGTTCACTAACACACGACTAATCATGACGAGTAATGCAAAGCAACTTTAATACTTGCCTTACCTTCGAACTTCGCTCTCACATGCTAACACTCTTTGTAGACACTTTGTTGTTATAAGTTTCTAACCATCTAGTCCATCTAACCATCCAGCGTTAGATGGGCTAACGCTCTGAACGTCATTTTTAGGAACTCTCTACGATTGTAAAGGTTAACAGCGTTTAAACGTGTTCCCTTTAGGAGACACAAGACAGTCGAACCCGTATTAAACTGTCACTCATGGAAATGGCTTGAATACAGCTTAATACGGGTTGATTTGGTTTCTTCAACCGAGTTGATAATGTTAATTAGCCAGCGTAGAGTTTCAAGGCTGACGTTTCGAGCGTGAGGCTTTCCTCAAAATAAATGGATGAATTTTGGGATGTGTATGTTTGTATGCAGAAGATGGAGCTGGCTGTTGGTGGGAACATAGTGACGAGAAAAACAAGAATAGATAAGTTGAATGAAAAGCGTTCGTTGATACCGTTGGGATTAAGAGAGCCGATTTGAAAGATGAATTTATGCTCCAGGCTTTCCGAATTACCTAGTTGTAAAGAGAGGCCGAAGACTGCCATATGCTCCAAAGAAAGAATAGGGAGATTAAAGTGTTTAGCGACTGGTTTGGATGCGTGCTTGCCCTTCGGTCACTTAGTCGTCTTCTTGTTTCTCAAGAAGTGAACATTGGCGGAGGTATGCGTAAAGTGATCAGTAATATTGATAAGTCGCTGGGTCCCGAAATTTTCTCCATGCTATGAATGAAAAGACAGGTTTTGCATCGTGCGCGAGCGCATTTGATAGCTCCAGGTTGGTCACTTGACCAAAAAGTTACCTGTATTTTTGTCACGTTTGAATTAAATTTTATAAATTGTAGAAGAAAGTACCTGTCTCTGAATTATTTTGAGGTAATTTAAAGTTTCTGAGAATGATAGATTACGCTGCGTGGTTGTGAGGGTGACATGCGAGTGTAAATAGATTGTTATCGGTATCTTCCCTCTGTGCCGTTTTGCGGTGCTGACTGTCGATTAATTTGTTTCTGTTTTCCCATGTCCGCCCTCTTTCTCACGCACAGTAGCCTTTTTGGTCGCATCGCACACTACCAAAAGGTGCTTTCTTTTCCGCGCTCTTTTACATTGTTGTTAAAGCCCCTTGGATCGACCAACAATAACAACAACAACAAAATTTAGTTTCCTTAGCAACACGCCACATAAATGAAACTAAAAAGATCATAATTTTCTAAATTTATCAATCAAAGTACGGAATTCTCTTGCATCAAAATGTCTAATAGCTGATTTCGTAACACTGTTTTAAATTTTTATTTAGGTAAAGAACGAAGACATATGGTAAGACCATTCCAAATCTTTGCATCAAGTTATTAAAGGGAATTTATCTTATGTTTTGCTCTGGGCTCTGAAATGGTGTGTTATCTGAAGAATATCTAAATAATTTTTAGATGCTGGGGAGGTGTTACATTGTTGAAGAAGTCATGCATAAAAATGCAGATTGTTTTTGAACAATTAAGATGAAAAGGAAAAATATTTGACAAGTTGAACAAGATGGAATGTAAAGGGTTTGAAAAATTTTGTGCGGAGAGCACGTTATTGAAAAATCAAAACTTTCTCTTAATTTGATTGGCAGCTTGGCCCCCACTGCAGCAATCCCACAGCACAAGCAGTTTTTCAATCTGGACAAAATGCCGAAAAATTTGCTAATTTAAGTGAAATTAAAATGCAGTGTGTTGAGTCAAAGATAATTTGAAACGATGAAGACACCAAGGTATGTTATACATTATTTCCGTTCCAGAGAGACAACTTTTTATTTCTATGAATGGTCCCGTCTAACAAAAAATGTAGTTAATGTTTGTTTGTTACAACTAAAACAAAAACGAATGAATTCAAAATGTGTCGTGATCCAGAATATAACGACATTAAAACAAAGGGCCTATCTACACTGATTGCCGATTGCCTCTTTTAAAACATAACCAATCGTGAAGTTACGTTGTAGTATTTTTGCAAATAGAAAATGCTAATTTTATACGCTTGTAGAAAAAACGTACTTTGCTGGATGGCCTAAAGTCCCCGAACTAAGCCACACAACTGAGTCACTGGAAACACAAGAAACCTCCATACGACTTTGCTTAGAAACCCCATTCAAAAAAAGTGCAGTCTTCACCACAAAACTTACCTAGCGGAACGTAAGTGAAGAATTTCATCTGAGCTGTTAGTTTTTTTCCAGTGTAAACAAAATGGGGGCCGTCTACTGCTGCCTCTACATAGATCTGCCTCTTTCGAGGTCTCCGCTGTTCCCGTGATTCAAATTCAACCAAATACGGTAATGGATTCACTTTAGGCTGACTGGGAGTCCTTTTAGATGTTACAGTAGATCGAAAATTACCAAAAGGTGACGGCTTTACCAATTCAAAATACTGAAGGAAAACTTCAAGAGGGTCCGCATTCTGCGTTGACGATGTTTTGCAATAGATTCGCGTCTATACTTTTGCATAATTCAGTCGACTTCGTAGATTTTCCAGTGGGTCCTCCTCTTCCTTCTTTACCTCTACAGTCAAATTGGAATGAGCGTTCGATTTTGCAGGATCTCGGTTGGAATTCTTTTGCTTTACTCTATATCTTTTCTGGTAGACACGAGCCTAACATTTACGTTTTACAACCTGAGACAATTTCCCTTTGAAACATTACACTTCAAGGAGGGACCGAACCAAATCAGACGCCCAGGTATAAGCTATCAAGTACAAATGACTGCGCTTGTCGCGCGTTCTGTATTCAACTCACCCTTGATTTAGGTGAAAAGCTTCTGGAAAAAGACTGAAGGCTTGCAAAAGGCAAAAAGTCCTTCTAGTATTCGGGGTGTTACTTTAGTTCGTGAAAAGATATTCTATACTACTCATCAGTTATTCATTTCACTGTTTCGTTCTCGACATATCCATATAGATATCCCGGCAAACATCAGCACAGCTCTTTACTCGCGTTTCCTGTTGTCTCTCACAATTCCACCAATCTGAATACCCGCTAAATTCCGCGTTTATGCCTTTTTACAGTCCGCTTCGACATCAAAATGTATTAAACCTGGCTCAGTGTCATTGATCAAAACTAAATTTCATTGAGGAAACACCGATTTCGACCAAATTTTAACTTTCATATGATTCATTGAAGGCTCGACGCTTTGAAGACCTCAATATATGGATATAAACTCCGCTTTCGTCATTCAACAAATAGGTTTTAATTCTGACTCAACAAAACCCTGCGGAATGTGAACAATTCCACATTTTCATTCAGTGGCGTGGTTTCCAGGGCGACTTTAGGTACACTGACTTGAAAAGTGATTATGAGAAACGCGCGAAGAAGGTGTAACTGACGAAGAAAAACGCTAACAAACCTAACAAAAAAACACAAACGAGGAGGTATATAATTAGCAAGCGCTTCGATCTTATAGGATTTGTTTAATTTTTATTTCTATATTTTTATTGAGGGCTGGGCATTTTAAGTGGTACTCCTAACATTTGCAAATCATGGAAATGAAAATTAGTTACACGTACAGTGACCAGGATTTGCTTTAAAAAGATGTAATTCAAGACGTTACAGTTATGATCATATTTCCGTTGTTGTTTTTTGGTGACGTAACCCCCCTTTCAGTGATGTGAAATTTGCACGCTCTTATTTCGCGCTATATGCAAATATAGTTCCTTTGTTTCTGCTTTTTTGCTTTCACATTCAATCTTCTTCGTTAACTTGTGAGGCTTGGCACATTAACTCCGCCCACGCTCCTTTAAATCGTGACGATGGCGGTCTGCTTCCTGACGCTTATTTACACCTCGTCAGAAAAAAAGGCCGCTAATTAGTGATCATATAAAAGAACCTCTTGTTGCAGCGTTTAGATCACCCCTGATGAAGGCACTTGACAGGAGTGTCGAAACGTTGGGTCTATGAATTGTAACTTCTTCGGTTACATTCATTAAATCTGCAAACCAGTGTAGCATCAAACTATGTCTGCATAAAATTAATTCCGACGCAAAGCTCGTCATGTTTGAATAAACATTTACACTGTAACGCGATGATCTTTGTTTTCAAGCTTTTTCAAGCTAATGCTTTCGGTGAAATTTCCGCACAGCCCCGTACTATTTTAAAACAAATCTGTTTTCCCAATGGCAATGTATTATTTTTGTAATTGTTTTCATAATCCAAGAACTGAATGCATAATGTAGTATGGGGCTGTGCGGAAATTTTACCTTGCTTTCTTCTGCCTGCAGCTGAAAGCAAAGTTCTAAGTCTTTTGCCCCGAAACGATACACCACGGTACGGTATACAGTTTCTGTGACAGCAAGTCTTCATTTTTTTTTTCCTTTTTAATGAGCGTAATTAAGAATGTGCGTTAGAGAATTCCACGAAGTTTATAATTTTGAAAAAGGTCAGGATTGTTCTTCATGTGTGAAAGTGTTACAGCCTCTGTTGCATCTAGTCGCCAGTATCTACATAAGCTATGTTATGTGTGAAACATGGAAAAAATCTCTGCGCACACTCAAATGAACGGGCAAAAAGAGGGCTTAGCCGCTATAATGTGTCTTTTAAAAACATGCTTGTGGATAAATGACCATAAGCAACTTAAGTATTGTCTACAGTTTAAAACCTGAAACATCGTAAATTGCGTGACTTGCACTGAAATCGGCTACCATTTACAACGCGTCTTCGGGGTCAAAATTACGATGCAAACTTTATTTCTCTTTTAATCACAAGACTTGCCTTTTTATTTACGATGTGATTCGAAACCAGTCCTCTTTTTCAAATGTTTTGAAAAGGCATCTGTTGCCGAGTCAAATTAATCCTTTACTGCCCACGGGCCCATGCCATAACATAAACCATCACCTTAGGTATTATGTTTCCCATGCGATCGAAATTATCTACGACTGCGATCGCGATATTGATTATGCTTCGATTTGATGACCACATAACGAGCTAGAGAAACATAAGATCTCTTGTACACATGATAGATTGCTTTGAAGCGGGGACCGGGGTGTGAACACCTTAAAGGGAACACTCCTACCTCACTTGGTTCGTCTTGAGGTCGTAACATTAAAAAGATGTTCTGAGAATCCCATCCGATATACAGTTTCGCAGACCAAACGCATTACTTTGTAATTGATTGCTCGTACTAAATATGCTCGTTGAACGTGAAGCCTTTCTCTTTATACGGCGGATGGTACACGCAGGAAACAGGATGATGATTTTTTCAAGGAGAAGATGTGAATCGAGACCATATTTGCATAGGTCTGAAACCTGCCAATCTTTTCTCAGTCGTGATGACCCAATCCCTTCTAAGAACACTATATGACCATTACACTAAGTGTTTTTCACTTGTGAGCATTCAATCCTAGTCAGCGGTTTCTCATGCGGCACGTGTTGAAACAAACAAAATGGCTCTTGAAGAAGGTATACGACATAAATCAGGCCCACTAAAACAGCAAAATAAAACACACAAACACGGACGGCACAGGAGCAAGAGCGAGGTTGATAAGACTAACAAAGGTTGTATGTCAGTTTTCTCAATAATGTTCCGTGAAAACTGTTTTTCAGTGCTTGTAGAGCCTCAGAAATGCTTTCTTTTTCTGTTAAAATTAATTTGTGGCCACAATTATTAAGTTTAACAACGATAGCATTTTCTGCATTCGTATTGTTCTTTAAATTCGGTCTTCGTCGATAAGACTCGCTTAAAGATCGTTTCTTCGTATTATATCGATGAAGTTACGATGTAGCATTCTAACATTGTACATGCCTGTAAAGCATACTATAAGATTATGTAGATTATTATAATTAAGATTGTTAGTAAGACCGTATGATGGCGTTATTTGTTCTGCATATACGTGCAATAAGCCCGTGGGTATGAAGCTTACGTAGACACCTTTTCAGCTTACGTCAACGTCTCTAACATACTGTGTCCTTGTTCAGGCCGTGTTGGAATCAAAGTGATTTCAAAGAAAGTTCGCCAAGCTGTTGGGAAAACCAATCGTAGACACCAGGTTGGTGTTATTTGTGTTTAAGTGAACTGTGCAATATATTTCATTAGGAAATTGTTGCTATGATGAATTGCTCCTTACTTCAATCCTATCGCTTCCACAAGTGACCAAGACAGAATTTCTCCTTACAATATCTCTACAATATCAAGCAGACAAGTGATGAGATTAAAGTAACAGAAGAACTGTATGGTAGACAGAAAGGAGAACAACTTGGGAGTGAAAGAGTTGAAGGATGTATCAGGCAACTGGTTGAGTTGTATGGATTTTATTTAGTGGCTCTCCATCAAATGAATTCCCTTGTTGTGCTGTTTATCTTGCCCCAGAGTAAATATCTCAGCTGCCCCTTTTCTTGCACATAAAGTCAACTGGTCTGGTAATTACCAATTAACCCTTTAACTCCCAAGATCTCATTAGTGATTCTCCTTATTGTTTGCCATACAGTTCTTGGATGGTAATTTTGAGAATTTGGTATTTTGATCAATTAATAATTCCCCAATTGATATTTTTTTTTATTCTCATGACTTGTCTACTGGATATTGTATTGATATTGTAGGGAGAAATTCTCTCTTGGTCACTGATGGGAGTTAAAGTGTTCAGAGATTTCTGTCCTTAATATTTATTTGGACTATTTATTTTCAATCTTATGACTTGTATTAAATGGACCACCAGCAGCTATGTTCTGCCTTTTAGTCTCCATAAACAGGACTGTGCTGCGGCAAAGCTGGAGTGACACATGGACATGTCACTTCCCTTTTTTTATTGAACAAGTTTTTGATTTTGTTTTAAACAGGCTAAACAGATAAGAGATAAAAGAAGAGAGGAAGTATTGGAACAAAAGAGAAAAACAGGGAAGCAAGGAAGCCCTCCTCATCTTATTGTGAGTGTCATTTATTTTTTCTAGACACAACTCAATCCAGTATTTTAAAGTAGGAGAGAAATGTCAGGAAAGTTGTAGTTTGATTCTGCTCAATTTTTGTTTGTTATCATACCTACTGTATAACTTCTGTTGAAGAATAGAAAAATTTACAAAAAGCTTGGTTGGAAAAATTTTTACTTAAGGCAAAATTTAAACCATCATGATGAAAATTGTAATATAAAATATTATCATTCATTTAATGTGTATTAAATGCTTGTATCTCCACATGATTAAGTTCATTTTAATGTTTCTAACCACTATAGATGACCTCATACGTTGGCAAATTTGCATGTACATGTAAGGACATAAATTTAAATTCTGCTTGAAAGAAAAATTTCAAATAAACTGACAGCAGGCAAATTATTGCAGCAGAATTGTGAGAATCATACTCTTATGTAGTAGTCGCGTAAAAAGAAATAATACATGTATTTGTCTGGTTATTTTGGTTTTAATAAGAGTGTGCATGTAGCACACTGAGAGAAATTTCAAAGTTGGCCAAGTATCATTGTGGGTCTTAATTAAAATTACACACATGATTACCTCCTAATGCAATCACACAAAGTTTATAGCTATAGCTGTTCATAAGGTATTTTATTTCATGTTTTAAAGATGAAAGCATTTTTGATAACACAAAACTCCAAACATTTTGCTGACTGTTGTCAAGAGACCTGTAAATAGTAACTTTACACTTTTAAATTTCTTTCAGGCAATTGTTCCTCTGTCATCCAATTGCAATGTTGACCAAGCTCTTAAATTGCTCACTGAGTGTGACAGCGATGGCTCCCTCTGTTCCACAAGAAACACTACCACCCTAGTGTGAGTGGCTAAGCAACCATGTACAGTAACTCTTGATAACTACAATTTTTAGAGTCATACACTTAGAAATATTTCACCAGACTGCAATCTAGAATTAGAATAATTTCATAATGGTCATCCATATTATTCCTCAGTGATTGTCCATTTCTCTTCATGTTACTGACACAAAATAGTATAGCTATAAAAGTTGAATTTGATGCTTCATTCAGAAGTAATGTCACAAAAATTTAATTAGTTCATATTATTGCCAAGTGTTCAGCTTGAGCTAAAGTTTGTTACTCAGCTTTTAGCCTTAATTTGATACAAATGTTGGCATGTAGTATATGTATGTATTATTTTCCTGACCTCATTTTTGTGGGAACACTGCCCCCAGGCTTGGGACTTCAGACCTCAATTATTAATAATGCGCATTCAATTCCTCTTTCACTCATTCAGTTCACAGCAGCTGAAGCAGCGATTTTCTTTTCTTCCATTGAAGTATGGCGACCTGTTTGCAGTTTTGGATGCAGCAAAGGTTTGTTACATAATTTTTTTTTAATTAAAATAATGATAGGCCCCTGGGGTAATTTTCTAAACACCATTTACAGAATGCTGTTGATTGATATGGTGTCACTTGAACCTTGAGGTGAATGGTGTGGTGATACACTATTACATGTAGCAAATAAAGTTCTCATAGTTGAACTGATTGATAATTGCAACCAGACATATTTTCAACACATTTCCTGAGAATTTGCCATATGGATGATGCAGGAATCTGTATATTCTGAGACATTAAATGTTTCCATGCCTATAGTTGATATTTCATGGTTTTATAGTTAGGTGTTCATTTTTAGATGATTGACAAACTGACAAAAACTTATGTTTTTCAACTTAAGGTTTCAGATTCTCTTCTGTTTCTTCTGAATGCCACTCATCCACTGGATTCCTTTGGTGACAAATGTCTATCCTGTATATTTGCACAAGGCTTACCAACATCATTCCTTGGGGTTCAGGTAGGTACATTTACTTTATGTGTGTTAATTTTTTTTTTTTTTTTTTGACTTGTGGGTGTCTTCACAGTATGTAGGAAAATGTTTTAAGTCACTGTTCCTTGGACTGCACATTACAGTGGAGGGATAGTTTGCATGAGGAAAGTCCTGGAGAGAAGTGTTGTTAGTGACTGTACGTGTAAATGAAAGTTTGACAAGGTCAAAGGACATCATTATCACTCTACATGTACTCAGATTTTTGAAACATCACTCACTGTCACCAATGTGGATGTGTACAATTTATTCCAGGGTCTGGAGGAAGTGCCATCAAAGAAACGAAGTGATGTAAAGAAACACATACAAAAGATAGTAGAAAAGAGGTACATGTCTGTCAGTACTATGCTATTTTTGATTAAAACCTTGTTGATCTCATTTTGATAGTGGTCATATACATGTAACATACAGGTGTAAAACCATACACTTAAAATATCATTTGGGGTTGCCATAATTGGTTTTACTACTATTGGGATGTAGCTTATACTAAGTAAATCAAAGGTGATGAGGTGTATTGAACATGTTTTAGTTTTGGTACAAATATATCGATTTAGGTAAGCCTAAAAGCGGAGCTCGCATTTTTTTTCCCTGCACGTCTCTTCAACAAAACTAAAGCCCCTACTATGGATAAAGTGTGTGGTAATATTAATGGATTTTCATTCGCAACTTCTCCGTGTCTGTGTAGAGGACTGATTATAAGATAGTGCCCATGGTACAGTTGGCTGCACATGCTAAAAGTAGCACCTTGTATGGTTGTACAGTTGTACAGTCATATATCCAAATTTTTTCGGCTTGATGGGTTACTACTATTTTGCATAATTATGGGGCTACGCTCTGTGAGCTCTGCTATAATTGTACGGTGAATGTGACAAATCTACATTTTTAGGGTCAATTGTACTTGTATGCACTACTTGGTATTACTTTAGTTAAAACTTAAGTGTTCAGTCAGTGATGTACTGTATGTAAAGTTTGAAATATTTGCCTTTGCCTCTGAAATTTGCATGCAAGGTTTGAAATCTTTGCCTGAGGTCATTAAATGAGCTGCATTCACACTTTTTATTTCTTTTTTCAGATTTCCCAGGGATAAAATTCACAACCTTGAATCCTCACAGGTGAGAATACACTGACAAAACACTACAGTACATGTACATTGCACATCAAAAACTTTTATTTAGGGAGCAGTTTACACATAAGGGCTGCTCATCACCTGACTACTTTTTCCATAGTACCTGATAGATAGAGGTAAAGTAATACTCAAATGTTGGATTTCTGTTGTCTTGTATATTTCCCTTTATTATTCTTTGGTTTTTTATTCAGTGGTTTGTTTCTTAACCCTTGAACTCCCAAGATCTGATTGTTAATTCTCCCCTCTAGCTGCTACACATTTCTTTTAAATGAGTTTGGAGAATTTGGTGTTAGATCAAGAAAAACAACTCCTATGTGATAAGTTTCAGTATTCTCATTACCCATTTGCTGGATAGTGTATGGATGTTATAGGGAGAAGTTACTTCTCAATCACCTCTGAGAGTTAAAAGGTTAACGCGTATTTTACTTTTGCGAGATCGTTTTCTCCTAGGATGCTCTTGTAGCACTGAGATTGATATCCAATCAGCATCAAAGAGTCATCCATTTCCGTGATATACGTCCCCACCTTTTAGCTGAAAGTACAACATTTGAACCCAACAGTGAGGTGACAGATGTCCCCAGGGGCACCCTGAAGGTGTGTGGTTTTGTCAGAGGGAAGAACCTTTCAGTGAACAGGCTGGTTCATCTGCCGGGATATGGAGATTTTCAAATGTCACAAGTAGGTATTCTAGCAGGGTACTTGCAACAATGCTTGAATATAATTAATATTTCTAAAGGCCTCGTAGAAATAGATCATTTGTATCGCGCTTATCAACAAATTTCTTTTACACTTGTTGTCTTCGTTTCATAGATTGATGCTCCCGCAGACCCATTTCCGTGGCAGAAAAGAAAAAAGTCTTCAGGTTTTAGAGGGGAATCAATGGCTGTGGTAAATTTTTGTCTTTTTTTTTGTTCCGGCTTAGTACTTTGTTTGTATGCTATTTTGGTTGTGCATGAATTTTTGTTAAATTCATTTCGCGCACGTAGCTGCGTTTCCTTCAAATTAATATTTTGAAATATCGAACGTTTTAGATCTATTCTTTAAAACGTGATAGCATTAATACTATGGAGGACGTAACACAAAACTCATTCTATGTAACCGTGGAGGTGCATTCTTTCCTCTGTCCCAAACTCTCTTTCATATATTATAACACATACTCTGTACACTCTATCGGTCACTATCCTCTGTCTATCGTGAGATTCCTCAAACAAAGTAACAAAGTAAGATCTGAATAAAGTGCAGTGATGGACAACAAAATGCTAAAAATGCCATATGCTATTTGAGATTCCTCAAACAAAGTAACAAGATGAGGTTTGAATAAAGAGCAATGATGGGCCACAAAATACCATTTTCGCTCAAGAAAAGTAAAGAAGTGCATTGTCGTGATATCATAGTTGTAGCATAATCCTTTGGAAGTTTAACTTTTTTTATTGTATTACCGCACATCATTGCAGGATACTGAGGAAGGAACAACTTCCATGGATGAAGACATCAAGCTTATAGCTCGAGCTGACATAGCCTTTCAGGAATCACTTCAGTCGGAAGTCGAGCCTGACCCGATGGAAGGAGAACAAACATGGCCAACTGATGAAGAGCTGAGGGAAGCGGAAGGTCTGGTGTGACAATGATTATGTTTTATACAATAAAGAGAGATCGTCCTTTTTGATGAATAATGCATTAGACTGACCATAAGCGATTGCCCTCGACCAAAGTGAAATCAACTGAAATTAAAAGCCTAGACGGCTAAACCCTCTTTTGGAGTTAGAATGAAGAACGAGCCTCTTAAAGATTTTGCAAGCGCCGAAGCTTATGGAAACGCCGTTTATTTTCCGCACTTTTTTTTGCGCCTCTTGGGAACTTATAGCCATTACAGCTACAGTGTAAGGTATTACAAAAGGACCACCGGGATATGACGGCACATTCCTCGCGGGCGATTCCGGGAAAGCCTGTAGTGTGCGAGAACCAGACCTTTGGCGCCGTTTCCTCAAAATTTACAAACTATTTCAAGCACAAAGCATTGAAATTTACATTGTAATGCTTCATATGCTTGAGCATTTGCTTTTTAATTTGTGTTTTGACTCGCAACTATCGCTGCATTGCGTTTGATTTTTGGCAGAGGCCCGCCAAGAAAAGAAAGTTGTGAAGAGGGTGCCCAAAGGAACCTCTGACTACCAGGCCGCATGGATCACAAATAGTGATGATGAAGAAGGCCCGGATGATGACGACAACGATGAAGATGACGACGAGTTTGAGGAAGAAATGGAAGGCAGTGATAGTGATGATTCCATGGTAATATGCGCTAAAATCCTTTTTTGGCGGCAGTCATCTATGCTTCCAAATCTTGCTCCTGTTTAACCCTTTTCACTCTAACATCAGTGTGCATATTCTCCCTACCGTTTTCCGTACATTTCCCATGGGCCTTTGTAAGTGCAGCTGCGGTATAAATTGGTTCCCTTGAACCAAACAACTTGTAGCGATTCTTGGCTTGGAACGTGTTAGGCTAGGCGCGGAAATAGCTGGGGGCGTGCGTGTCTGTCTTCAAGTCATTGTCTGTTCATAAACTGTTTGGTACACTTGCAATATTTTCTGGTGATTATTATTGACGACGTATTCCCCCTGAACCCTTTTGGAACTTATAATGTGTGGCCATTTTTCCGGTATAGTTGTGTAATCTTTTCAGAACAGCAAAACAGGAGCGTCCACATTAACAACAGCAATATATCAACGGCTATAACGACAACAAAATTTACTCAAGCAATAGACCTTTTCCTCGGCGTACAGAGCGTTACCTCAACACGAGGGGGTTGGGAGAATTCGAGAAAGTTATGAAAACCTGAGGCGCGATAGAGTCCTTTATTGGTTTTGTAAAAGAGCTCCAGGAAACAGTGAAAGCGTGACGGCACAACCATGTTTACATCCTCTCATCCAAACACACCTAACGACTAATGAGAGCGCGCGTTCTATCTTTAGTATTTATGAAATCTTTTAGTACGCTATGTAACTTGCACGTGAAGGTTCTGATCGCAGTGTCGTCTATTTCATATCTTTGCAGCGCAATGAAGACGAAGAGTACGAAACAGTAAGTAAAAAAAGCAATCATACTATTTTTCCTTTTTCCTACTCTTTACTGAACGATAAGTTTTGGATTTTTGGGTAATAGTCATTTAAAAAAATAGAAATGAAAATTTTTCCAAGAGTTTTATGTACAGCTGCACGTAGTTAACATGCTAATCTACGATAGTATCCGTTTGATCCCTACTCAGGGTCATTTTGTAGCGTTTTTGGTCATGAGACATGGTTATCAGACAGTACTTTACGTAACCAGGCTTGTTTATTGGGTACCGTCGATCTCTCCAAGAAACCAGACATACAACTGAGGGGAGGGGGGAGGGTTGGAGCTGTTTGTATTTGCTGGCACCGGACTTCTGGCCCACAAAGAAGACGTACCGGCACTTCCAGACGTATCCCCTCACTCATTTAAAGCAAATAAGCTACAGCAGCTAAGCTATTCAGTCTTGAAAATAATTCTCTATTTTTGTTTCCTAATTTTATTTTAGGTAAGCGTCGCTGCTACGGAGACAGAGGACAGTAAATACGATGAAGACATTGATGTAGATGAAGAAAGAGGCCAGTAAGTGCTAAAAAAACTTTAATGAAATAAATAACACATTCAAGAGCTGCGGTTCGCTGTTCAGTATTATTCATGAAGGTGTTTAGTACATCGCTGTATACTAACAACTCTTTGTAAGATGACCCAATATTTGATACAAATAAAAATTTGTTTTCAGATTAGAGAAAATGCGAGCGGAAAGGGAAAATGAAATGTTTCCTGATGAAATGGACACACCAATGGATCAACCGGCACGCGTTCGATTTCAGAGGTAGTGTGTAATTAAAAAGTGGTAGACGAGCTGTTCTTAATACATCTTTCCTAAATTCTGATGCGTTGTCGCAAAAAAGTGTCCTGATCCTTGTCGGAAACATCAGAGAACTTGAGCAAGAACTTACTCGAATGTTCAATTCTTGTCAATTAGCCAAGGGGTCCAAGAGTAGCATACATTTGACTCAACCGCAGGGATCCCCAAAGTGATTAAGTATATATTTGCCGAACAGACGTAACATGCTCTACAGCTGTACTTTGCCAGTGCTTATATAGTGTGCTGAATAATTGATTGGATCGTTCTTTCTCTTGCTTATTTACAGATACCGCGGTCTAAAAAGTTTCCGTACTTCGCCTTGGGATCCAAAGGAAAATCTTCCATCGGATTATGCAAGGTACGTTGCGAGCCTGCACCACCTGGCAATTTAGGTGCGATTTTCGGAGTGGGACTTCGTAGTATTTTTAAGAATGTCAGGTTTTGATTTCACTCGTTCGCCACTTTTCGGATGGGTATGAAGTGTACGTGCAGAACAGTTTGATCTTGGTCCTCTTTCTCTCCTTGAAGCTCTAGATGTTTTTCAGCGGTATCAAGGAGGCCCTGGCCTTGTCATTTCGTGCTGTGACGTCTGCGTCTGTGCTAAGTTTAGGTGATTTTAATGAACGTCAACACGTAGTTGATTGTGATTGCACTTAACTCGTTATTTTGCATAAATTATGTTCACAGAATTTTTCAGTTTGAGAACTTCAAACGAACAAAGAAACGAGTCATGGAAGAAGATGAGGTGGATGGCGCACAGGTATACCTTGGTTACAGTTTAACCCACCATGCGGTAGCCCGTGTAACTCATTAAAAAACCAAAGTTATAGTCGTTGCCCCTTAAGAATGCGATTCGTCCTGTATTATCATTACATTAAATCAACTAGAAAGGTGCTGAAAACACACAGTTGTATTAACTAGTGCACGTAATTTTGATAAAAATCCAAATTCTGCTCTATATTTTGCTACTGAAATGTGTGATGTGACTATGTATGCTGTGTGTATTGTTCTAACGCGCCATCTTTTTATGTAACCAGCAGTTATACGTTAAAATTTTTGATATCAAGGCTTTGCTGGCAAGTCTTCCCGCATATTTATGTACATATCTCTATTATTTTAGCCTGGATGGTACGTGACTGTTCACATTTCTAATGTCCCGCGGGCGTTTATGGGTAAGATTAATTTGAAGTCAGTTTGTTGTCGATTTTTCAGCGATCGTTTTGTAAATTAAAAAAATAAGAATTAATTTGTTTAGCGTTTAGCTTTTTACTACTTTGTTAAGTGAAGTTTTTCTTTATTTTGATTTTAACTGAAGCGTGGGGATCAGGGTCTGTTACCTGGAACTTTAAACCCAATGATTTCGATCACTGAGATAAGTGTTCTTTACGCCAGTTAAAGATTTTTTCCCATTCATTTTGACGATACATCTCCACCCAGTTTCAGCGTAAGTGAAGTGCTTCAGAAAGTGACGATATATTTGTCTTTCAATTTCTTCTTGGCTTATTCTTCTACTTCCGTCTGCTTTAAAGAAGCCGTTCGCATTACCTTCCAAGAAGAGATTAGGGTATTTTTGAGACATAACAAACAAGATTGTTGACTTTGCTCGCTATATGCATCTCCTTTCTCCAGATTCACTTGACCCCAGTTCTCCTCTGGTGATATTTGGACTTCTTCCACACGAGCAAAAAGTAAGAATCGCCTTTTCTGAAAACTCAGACAAGCCAATGTTGCTTGAGTTTTTGTATCGGTTTGAATTCTCCTCAAATACTTCTTGTTAACTGATTTTTTGCATGTTTTCTCCTGTTAGATGTCCGTGGTCCATTTTGTGCTCAAGAGACATCCAACATTCAGCGAGCCAGTGAGATCCAAGGTTTGTTTTAGCATGTGGCTTTGTAGCTCAGTTTGTATTAACACCCAATTAGTATCTGAGAGGCCTGGGTTTGAATCCCGTCGAAGCCTGAACTTTTTCACGCTTCTTCTTTTTTTTAAGTGCTGAAATTGCAGCTCACCCGCAACTACCATTGCATTACGTGAACTGTCTTCAATAAGCCCCTGGAAAAAAATCCAATGTAACCCAAATTTTTCAATTTGATTTCTTGCAATCTGTGTCAACTTTCACGTTAGTAAATATCTCCGTTCCTCTACTCTAATGTATTTCCCCTTTTTTTGGATGTTTTCCCTTCAAATGGAAATGATGACAAGTGTTTTTCCCTTCACTTAATCGTTACCATAGCTCCAATGGCACTATGCTCTCTTCCTGCACGGTGCTCACATAAACGTCCGCCTTCCACCTTCAGTCCACTTTGTACGTGTGCAATGCAGGCTGGTCTTTTCTTGGAGTTGTCTTTTTCTTTTGCTCTAGAACAATGATGTAGACTCTTATGTGGTATATTTTTATGTAAACGACTTATCACCTCTAGGAAAGATTGATCTTTCATTGTGGCTTCCGAAGATTTACGGCGTGCCCCGTTTTTTCCCAGCATACATCGGGAGATAAACACAAGGTATGACTACGCTGATTAACTTTTTGGTATGCTGTTGTTAATTTAAGTATATTTGGTGTCAAAGAGCTAATCAAACGATAAGAATGATACCTTCCCTGACCATTTGACGCCCAAGAGTGACTCGCATCTACATAGAATTTCTCCTTACAAAATCAATCCCTAAGTCAAACATAAGGGTCACAAGAATAAATGAAATGATCACGAACTAAAAAAATCGCTGGATTGTCGAACAAATTCCCTCATCAGCGCCTTAGGAAATATAATAGAGAACAGTATGGAGAATATAAATGCTGATGTTAGGGTGAAAAGTGTCAAACTGATTTGATTTCGCCTGTGACGCTTCGTTGCGATTCGTGAACGGAGAACCTGCTTCTTGCAGGAGAAGCATTTGGGGTTCCTGCTCGTGTTGCCGAAAAATAGAAGGGAAAAAAGGAAAGAAATCGTGCCTTAATAATGGATTTGGAATAAACTGGCTTTCATTCATTCAGTCAGTCAGTCAGTCAGTCAGTCGGTTTGGAGGACAGACAGGCAATCAAGTAGTTAGTAATAGGTTATTAAGGTACTCGGTTCACGATGAGGGCTTCGATCAAAGCAATCACAATTCTTACTACCTTACTGCGGTGTCGTTACAGGAGTAAATTTTCTCTCGCGGCCGGGCTGACTGAGTCTCTCTAATATGTTTTCTTTTAGCTTGAACGTTTTATGCCTCAAGAAGGAGCATTTGTGGCGACTTTGTACGCACCAATTATGTTTCCTCCAGCACCAGTCCTCGTGTTTACACAGGATAATCACACAAGTAAGGCTCAAGTTCACAAAGTTATATATTAACTATTTAATTTATATTTCCATTAGAAAATACAGTGTTCTACACCATGAGTGAGTGGTGACGAAAGATCCTCTAGTAAAGATGGAGAAAATTTCATGTTTAATAGTTATCTTGATGCAAGCTATTATTTTCGCTATCGTTGCCTACACCGTGCGTGAGTCCTCTTGTTGGAAAGATTATACAGAAAAGTCATAGTCTTGATGTAGAAATTTTTTCATGTTCGTCTTCCTCACAACACAATTCAGTCTTCTCTATCCTTTGTCATCCTCTGGTTCCTATTTGGTTTGTTTATCTCTCTTCATCTGATAAACCTATTATTTGAAAGTTGTTAAGATAAATCTCCACGTTGGTTAAAAGATGTCAATGACTTTGTTCTTTGTTCGCGTGCGGATGTACCTCATGTTATTTTTCTTAATAAAGACCGATGTTTCTTTAGGTTGTCATACCTTGGTTGGTACAGGATCATTGTACAAAGTCGATCCGGACAGAATTGTTGCTAAAAAGATTGTGCTTAGTGGACATCCTTTTAAGATCAACAAACGATCAGTAGTCCTTCGTTACATGTTCTTTAATAGAGGTGAGTGCTGCTGTTATTGAACGTGAAGTCTGCTACTTTGCGACTTCCATGGAAATGAATTTTTTGGCAATCTGAATGTAATCTTAGTTTTGCATGAGGACAAAGACCGTCTCAGTCTGAGTGTAGAGTTATTCTTAAGTTGCCTTTTTAATGCATCAGTTATGTTCTTTTATTTTTTTTCTCTTTTTGTCGTGCGAGGAAAATTGTGCGCTTTTTTTTCCTTCACGACGCTAAGATTTTATATCGCTAATGAATAATTTGTCTTTCGCCCATTTTGTCTACGCCTGTTTTTCTTTTTTCGTCGCGGACCGAATTTAGAAATAGCGCGATGTTATTTGCCATTCTGTGTTTATTTCAGAGGATATTCATTGGTTCAAGCCCGTGGAACTTTTCACCAAATATGGGAGAAGAGGTCATATCCGGGAACCTTTAGGTGGGTCTTGGATGTAGCAGTTTACAACAGTGGTGCACTACATTTAACTGTTTATGTTATTTTGTTGAATCAGATGCTATGTTGTTTTATTCCTATGTGCAATTTTTACTCTTCCTTTAATCTCAGTTGATAAGTGCTACCACACCCCTTCCTGGTTTTAAATCATTATCCCAGCGAATTAACATTTCCGTTTTTCTGCAGGGACACATGGTCACATGAAGTGCGTGTTCGACGGAATGATCAAAGCCCAAGACACTGTCTGTATGAACTTGTATAAACGGATTTTCCCAAAGTGGACATATGAGCCCGCAATATTACCACCGCCTGTGGAAACACCAAAGGACATTGAGGACGCAATGGAAACTTAAAATATTGAAAACTGACTAGTTTTTGGTGATTGAAGTTTTCCTATCGAATGACTACTACAAGGAAATAATGTGCCAATATTCTCTGCCCTATTTTAATCATTAGACGCGATGTCCTATCAAAACTGAAGCGCGTTTCTGTAATTTCTTCCTTTTAATTTGTGCTTCAGTGCTCTACGAGATCGCCAATCAAGTTCAATACTTTTTAATGCTCTCCTTGGATTACAGCTTTCTACATGAGCCGCGTTGTTCACAGATAAATGAAGTGAATCATATTCGGACCTGTAGGTGATTACAAATGCTGGAATTATCTTTACAGGTGAGCAGCAATTTAGGAGTTGCAGGGAAAGAAGCCTGAAAAAAAAATTAACTCTCTCACTCCCAAGATCTCATTAGTAATTCTCCTTACTGTCTGCCATATAGTTCTTGTGGTGTTATTTTGGAGAATTTGTTATTGGATCAACTAATAATCCCCTTATTGATATTTTTCTTTATTCTCATCACTTGTCTGCTTGACATTGTATTGATATTTTAAGGAGAAATTCTATCTTGGTCGCTCATGGGAGTTAAAGGCTTCGAGCGGTTTCTTCTTTGAACATTTGGTTACGCAAAACAAAAGAAGAAGACTAAAATGAAAGGAAAAAAGTTTTAAGCGTACAACTGTGATGATACTTGCACATCTTGTTATGTCATGTAGCAATCGCGAGCTTAATTGGTTCTTTGTATCTATAAATCTTCAAAGTTGTACAGAATACCTGATGGAGTTGATGTCAGAGCGGACTGAGATTTTAAACGTTGTTCGTATAAAATCAATTTACCGGGTAGGGGTATTTTGAAATACGTCAATGTTTTACGAATTTCATAATTTTGTATTTTAACATTCAAGTTTTAATCCAGATCCTTTTAACCTGAATTAGATGTGCTGTTGTGAAATGGAGGTAAAATTGAAGGTGGTGATGATCGTAATAACCAATGTCTGGGGTTGATTAAAAACTATAAAAACTATAAACCCTTTAACAACTAGTTTATGAGTCGAGCTCGAGTTGTGAGTAACAGGTTTCACAATTAGTAGGTAAGGGTCTGGAACAATAGTCCATACTCAAATATTGTGCTGGTATGGAAACCACTTCCTTTTGACTATTCCTCTCTTACACCAGGGATTATGTCTATAAACTTCGTTGAATTTCAATTCAATGCTACCTTTACGTGTGAATAGAGAGTGTGTGTAGGTTGGGGGGGGGGGGGGGTTGGGGTATTTCTCTCTGACAACTTGCTTCATAAATTTTCGTCGAAATGATCTGAAGACAGGGAGGAACTTTATATATGAGTGCTGTAGTTACCGACGTACAATATCATCATTGCAAATCAATATTTATTTTTCATACTACTTCTTGAAGGTATTAATATCCATAACGTAAATTATATGTAAAATTTTAAAAAAAGCGTCCTCTAATTCAACGCCCCCTGCTTCTCTCCTGGAGAGGGTTTAAATCTCATTATTCAGTCTCCACTATGCTACACGGGGTATCACTTTGGTGTAGCCAGTGCAAAGGGTTATTGTGTTGGCGAGGTCCTCAGGAAGCTAAAGGATGTTGGTGAAGAATTTGAAGTGAATTAATAGGATTGACGGATTTTAATGACAACTTTGCAAAGCTGAAGCTGGGGAAGTGCACACATGAATACCACGCACATATACAGTGGAATCCCGATAACTCGAACCTTCAAGGGAAATTGAAAAAGGTTCGAGTTATCGGGGTTGAAATTAAAGAAAAACGTTCACTAGTTTTTTTTTTTCTTCCTTGTTTGTACAGTATATATCTGAATCAAATTTAATTATAGAGAAGTCGAGTGAAAATGGCACAGTCAATTACTTCAGAAATCACAACGTAGCGTAAGTAAATTTTTAGGCCCATAGTACACCGTTTGTTTTGATTGGTCACGTATTAACAGATGTGGTTCGAGTTATCGCTTAGGGTTAAAATATGTCGAAAATGATCCGAAGGGAAACGAAAATTGCTTCGAGTTAGCGGGAGGTTCGAGTTATCGAGGGTAAAATTGCAGTAAATGTATATCGGAAATCACGCGGATTTTAGTTAGAGTTAGCGCGAGGTTCGAGAGAGCGAGGGTTCGAGTCATCGGGATTCCACTGTACCTTTGTCTCTGTTTACTAGAAACAATCCCCTTGCTCTGCCCCTCCTCTTCCTTCCCCCTACTAATCCTTAGTCTTACTTACAAACTGTTTTTGATATGATACTTCTTACTGGAATAATGTACGCGTGTTTTCGTAAAGTACCAGCTTTTTCTGTTGAATTTTTTTATGATTCAACAGTGGTCAATGGTTTAGCCTAAACTGGGCCAAAATCGACCACATTCATTCCCAGGACTACCCTCACTCGAATGATTATATATGATCACATGTTACCTTAGGGTTCAAACAATCAACAATAAAAATGATAAGTATTAGATCATTAGGCTCAAAATTTTTCTGGTGGAGGACAAGGAATCTTCGTAAATCTTTTCAGTTTTAAAATCTACATCCTGTATTGACTTTATGTCTGATTCCGGAAGTTTTGGTCAATATCGTCACTGGAAAGTTTCCAAAATGTCGGATCGCTGACTTCCACCTTATACTTTTATATTGGCTGCACTTTCATCACAGAGCACGCAGAAAGGTGTCTATCAGATTATTTTGGCATACGAGTCGGCTAGACTCAAACATTTTCCCTTGTTAAATGAAAGTTTGTACCGTTTTTTGAGGGGCATTAGTTCTTACATAATTTTGCCGACATCAGAACGGTTGTGTCAAAGTTTTGAATCAAAGCCGGCAAATCTTTCAAGGAAATTGGTTGAAAGCACTTGCGACGGAAGTAATACGGATATTTTTTCGGCTTTAGTGCACCGAACAGCTGTGAACTGAAAATTGTCGGATAATTGGTCAAAGATTTCCAATAATGTTTGTTTATTCAAGGAAATGCGGCGCGGCGTAAATGCAATGGAGGGAAATTTCACCTATTACGCTCTCCGCTTTTGTTTACCTAGATCCTGAGTGCAACTCCCTGATATTAATACACAGTTCTCAATTTAAGTTGAAATTGAACGTTGTTAATACTAAGTTTATTGCCTAATGTTTACACCTATCGCTGAGGATCAGCTCAAAGTTGTTAATGCCACACATACACAGGAACTCCTGCTCCAGTAAAAGTTAAGTGACATCATCTTGACCAGAATTTATCGGAGGCAGAAACGATCGAGGGCATTTTCGTACGTGATCTACAGCTCTAAAATAACATTTCTCTAAGCACACAAATTAATCGAGCCAAACAAACTTACATAACCAACTAACGCAGAACCTCACCCAACTAAGACGTTAGTTTTTATGAAGCAGGTATTTCAGACATTTATGCAAAAATTCTCATGACAGGTCAGCTAAGATCGTTATTGCAGACTGCTGTAAATTAAAGATTCACCATACTGAACCGTAAAATTGTTTTGGTCCGCCAAGGATGATTTCAGTCAATCTGTAATTATGCAGAGCAATTGCTACATGACTTATCATTAAAAATTTAAAGCATGTTTTGCTTTGCGCGTGATTTTCTTTCAAAATACGAAATTACGAACACTTGAATTTTAAAGAGAGTGATAAGCGATATTGGAGCTCAAACTTTTGTTCTTTTGTTGGAGTCTGCAATGAATAAGGAAGGAAAATGTTCGAAATTTTCATAAAATAGACTGCTTACAATTCATTTCACTTTTTCTAAAGTTCTCTTTACGTCATGCCTTTAGATCATAAATGGTGGCTTAAGATAAACACGTAAATAGTGGTGAATTAAACAAAAACTCTTTTTTACAGTATATTAAGCACATGAATTGCGCGGTTTTTGTCCAATATGTAAAAATTTGCGCCTGAAGTCGGCCGATATAAGCCTCGCCACAGGGGGTACTTTAAAGCTATTTTGAGCTGAGGTGCTTGCCATAAAGAACTGTTATTCATCCAGAGAAAATACTATAGAAATTACAGCGCCATAGAGAGTTGAAAGGAGGCCAGAGGAAAGAAATTAAGATGGCGCGTGGCACAGTTTTGAAACCGTGGTATCAGTCGAAAACATTAACGATTTTGGTAGTGCTTTGGGCGCTTTTCACCGCTTGTCTTGGAATTATGATTGTGGTAATCTTTGTACAGCCTCACTGGATCAGCGGAAAAATCAGTCCCAATGATAAGAGCGTGAATTTTGGCCTGTACCGTAACTGCAGCGACAACCTCAATGAATGCACCGGCAGCTTAAACGATTTCGCAAAAATTTATTCAACAGCTTGGCAAGCGTGCACGGTTTTTGTCGCGTTGGCTTTTACCTCCACGTTTATCTCAGTGGCAATGATGTTGTTGTACTGGTTATGTTGCTTCGAGTCTTCGCGCATCGGTTTTCGCACAAGCAGTGGATTACAAGCCTCAGCGGGTATGTTTTGTTTTATCCATTGCTTATTTCAAGGGTCATGGCTTTTTGACGTCTAGAGCACAGAGTTACGGGTATTTTTGGTCAGTCTTAAAGGTCTTAATATTTGGTGTTCCACACAGATTTCCCTCACTGTGAAAGAGACTCTTTAATGACACCTCTCACCCAACCATTATTCTCAATAATTTCTTTAACGTTGCAGCTTTCGGTATCAAAACAGATTTCTTTAATAATTAAATGTAGAGAATATGATTTACGCAGGGCAGCCCGACAAACAGCGAAAAACTCTTGTTGATTGGGATCCTCTGAGCTTTAGTAACCCTCAATCGAACTTAAATCTGTCGCATTCCTGTTCAGTTTTATTATTTATGTCACATTGTCCTCACCCTCTTGGAAGTATATAAGTCTTCCTGTCATCTTGAAAAGACATCTTAATTCTATTATTTTTTTTAATGAAAACGACGAACAGTCCCAGTAGAAATAACTTGTATTTTGTCATCAATACGAAGATCTGCACGGTCTGGAATTGATAAAATTCATCAGACACGAGCAGGTTGTTTCAACCTTTTCCATTCCTTCCATTATTTGTACTAAATCTCTTCCCCTCTTTAAGTATTTGAAGTCGAAATGTATTAATTAAGGGGCCTCATATATATTCAAATCAGCTGACTCTATCGCAAAGAATTCTGTAAAGAAATAGAATCAAGCCGTATCGGCAAAATTGTTCGATTTGCAAGCTGGAAAAAAGCTAGTTTGAGAAGATAAACTATATAAAATACATTTTTTTTTAAAGTGTTTTCTAGCTCTGAAATTATGTAGGGAAGGAGTAAGAAAATTATTCAATTTGAAAATTAATGACCAATTTAGCGCTTATTTAGATGATCAAAGCGAAAGGGAGCAATATAGATCAGATACTTCTTTCCTTTGGCAATTTATTTCTTGTAATATTCTCTCTCTTTTTGAGGTATAGATATACACGCTTGGAATATGGAAAGGAAGTGTTGGTAAATAGCAAAATATAAAGGCATCGGTTAAGACCCTGAGCGTTTTCAAATCCCTCAAGTGATTAAGTTGTGGTTATATTGGTCACGTTCTCACGAGTGGTGTATACTGGAGTATTGGACCTTTTAGCTGATCGTTCACGAATTATTGTTTCATTTTACAAATTATCTAAGATTATCATTTGATCATTACGATACTAGGAGATTCATTTGAAAGTTGAAATATTCACGTCTTACTTTGGATCAGATAAAGCTGCTATTTTTGCCAAATTTTATGCAAAAAGTAAGATCTGATATTTGCTCTGTTTAAGTTACCTGCACACAGAAACTCGAAACTGTCTACTGACGAAATATCGTAACCGGTGTCTGTTCACGTAAAGTCTAGAAGCCGTGGGAACATTTTTATACGAGTCATGGCTGAAAGATTTTCCTTTTGATGCTAATAATCTGTTAATTACCATTACTTAAGTGTACCTCTGATAGAAAGTGTGCTGACATCCAAGATTTTTTTATTTCTTTTTGGAGGCACCCTCTTAAGGACCCATCCATCTGAATATTCTCAGTTCACGCGCAAGGAAATTTGATTTAAGTAAAACAGCCGTGGTTACATATGAGTAGCCATTTTTTAAGGCATAGATTGTTATGACTTTAGGGCACCTGTAAACCAGGTGTATGCGATCTACGTCACTTGCTCTTTTCATAACAAATATCTTAAATGGCCACTCACGCATGGGAACTGTAAAACGAATTCTTTCTCACATAACGAGGAAATACTGATAGAGCTATTTACCCAACACTTTGAGGCCACTACTCATTTAAGTAATAAAAAATCCTGAAATCACTGAACATCATATTTTAGTCATCCTTCAGAAAATGCATCGCCGAATATGAATTGCTCAAACGTAATGTTACGAACGAAAACAAACATTGCGATCAAATGAACACGCATCAGGAACAGGAGGTCATATTGCTTAACATCGCTCGGTAAAGTGCAGTCCTACAGACAAGTAAGGCACTGGAACAAATGAAAATGTCAATGAATAAATTAACAAATCCACGTGTGAACCTCACAATGCTGTCATAATATCAAAAACCATTGTGCAGAAGGTCGACTCCAAGGCAAAAAATTTATACATGAATGCATGATTGCAAACCACATAGGGCTCTCTCTTTCTGGGCTTCGAGAATAGGTTAGTATTTTCAGGCTGACCTCCTTATAGGGGGGTTATTTAGAGAGGGGTGCGTAACAGAGAGAGGTGAGCTTACTACAGCGCTTAGAGGACTATATTTCATTTCTTTAATTCTTTTTTTCTTTTTTTCAAGGCTTCTGTATGTTACTCACTTGTCTAATACATCCCGTTGGATGGGATAGTGCCGAAGTTCGGGCGGTCTGCGGCCCTGACGCTGGTGTGTACAAAATTGGGGACTGCAAAGTAAACTGGGCCTACTGGATAGCTGTTATCTGTATGGCGGATGCATTTGTGCTTAGCTACCTCTCCCTCATGTTCATCGAGCGGGAGATTAGAACCCCGAACGTGACAGATAGGAAACGATCAAATGGAACAAGTGCAGACGACTACTCCCACGACAGGAGAATGGCATCTCATGGGTATTATAATCAGGACACGACAACGCTGTAACATGGGAAAATGCGATAAGCACAGCCTAAATAACGAAAAAATTGGTGTCATAGTTTTTTTTTTGGTCAATTAGTGTGAGTAGTGTTTGACGCAGAGCAAAAAGTTTTGTGGAAGAGCAGACTGAGATATAAAGTGAATAATGAGTAAGAAAATTTAAATTTTTAAAACTGATAACTCATTCTTATCTTTAGTTTACGCTTATATTCAAGTAATATATACCTAGGTTTGTTACATTATTACGTCATGGACTCGCTTGAATTGCATCATTGGCGAGCTCTGGAGATGAAAAATACAGCAACCTACATATTACGGCAACGTGCTTGCTCACTGTTTTTTCAAAAGCATATGATACGCACCAGCTTTGCTGTAACATTTGCGCTATAGTTGCAATTTTGAGTTAAAGTTAACAGGTCAAACTTAGTCAATTTACAAATATTAAGCAAACGTATAATTTTATGAGGTTTATTAATCCTTTTATTCTTTGTGTAAAGGCTATAAGATGTGGCCAGATCGTGTCGATAAAGCTCACATTATTGAGTCGCATCAAGTAAATAAAGAACCTTTTCTTTTCTTGGGCTCATTTATTCATAGTCAACCTTTCAAGTTGTTTTCTGTCTTTCAGCATCCTAATCTTTGGAATAATATATACTAACTCAATTACATCGATCTAATGTTTTTGGGTAAAACTTTCATTTGTGTTTCACGAAGTTATCTCACTCCCAGACGTCGGTTGATAATATAGTTTCAAGGAATTTGTTTGTTTGCTTTTGCTTTTGTTTTGTTTTTGTTTTTGTTTTTGTTTTTTTACGGTTTATAGAACTACCGATATCTATATGCCACCTACCTCCCTCTTCTCCTATAAACTCTGATAACTGTTTTGCTTAAACAAAAGTTGTCATTTGAGTAAGTCTTACTACGCTGATAGTCAGTGGCTGCCAATTGAAAAAAAGGGACAGATATCGTGTAACACTTGGACAGATGACATATTCCTAAACACGCTATGGCAAATCCCATTATCTAGATATAATACACTCGTTGCAAGAACCAAGAAGCATTGTTTTTCAAACATATTTCGGCCGCTGCGGAATAAGGAAAGGTATTTCGTCAGTTGTTTACTGTCAAAATACGTGTTACAGTCTTAACTCACCAGAATTTGCATTGGTTCCATTTGAACCGAAACTGTGCTTAAATATATCGAGATCCGTTCACACGACAGTAAGCAATTCTCTATACTCTAGCTGGTCACTTTCGTCCTCCGTGGCCTTCTTTGAAGAACCTTTACGAAATGTACAACTATCCTTGGGCTCAACCATGTCAACTTCTTCCGAAAGGGGACAATATCCCGACGCTTCAGCGTTTTTGGAGGCGTTACTCCAGGTATCCTCTTTGGGTAATCCTGGTACATCATTTGGAGGGTCTGTTTGCTCGGCTTCTGTTTCCGTGGGAATAGGAAGCTCCTGGTACTTATGGACCTTACGTGCGTTCTTGTCTGGCTTTCGGAATCGTTTGCGGCAAAGGAGAATGATAGCCATGAGAATGAGCAGAAGCACGCCGAGAAGGACACCAATGGCGATATGGCGCTTGGAGGTCGAGGCTGCCAAGGATGAAGGGACTATTTTTTTATTTGGTAAAGAAATTACTGCGAGGCTCTTATTGCTTTCCCGTGTTATAGCAACTCAAAGCTACATTCTGGTTTGAAAATAAACTGCAATGAATGAGAAATGAGACAGCAGGAACGATGGAGATGATATAGCACTGGTTAAAACACTGCCTTTGCTAATACCTGTGAGCATAAAGGGTCTGAACTAATTTGATCAACGGGATTAACGGTTCCTTTAGGCTCTTGTTCTGGAATTTGAGCCAAGTTTTTCCCACTGTTTCCCTTATTTTTGTTTTTCTTGTTGCCATTGTTGTTGCCATTGTTGATACTGACCGTAACGTAAATTACAAAGAGGGTTAGTTTATAAATTTCCACCACTGATCATTAAGTACAAAATTGTTGAAAAGAAACTTACCCCCCCCCCCCCCCACCCTGCATTCAGTTCAGTGATACGATCACTCTTCACTCTTTATCAAAATCGCTTTTTGTTTATTTCTTTGTTTCTTAATCGGTAACCTTACCGCTGACAGGAAGTACTTTGACAACGAATCCCGTCTGTTCCACCTCCTTATCTGTGAGAAATCTCAACCAAAGGACTGTGCCGCTAGAAATAACCATTGAAGGTTTGGTCGAGCCACAACGCCTTTTAACGACTTTGCTGTCTCTAAACTCTAACCCACCGTCACTACAGAAGGTAAGATAAAGTATTGTTACGTCTGGTGGATAACTAAATCTGCATTCTTATGAGCGTCCATAAATTATTAAATTTACTTTTCGAATAGGACTAAAAAAAACATGATCAGTGAAAAATACACCAACGGCATGTTAGAATTGTATGCCTATGATAACAGCACAGCATCGAATACTTCTCTGATAATCATCACCGAATATTAATGGCCGTAAACTTACGATTAATTCACTGGATCGCCTATAACTGGAAGGTTCAAAATTGTCATTTTGTACCGTAATACGAAAACATTGAAACGTTGGTTAAGGTATTTGACTTGGTTGCAGTGAAGCTGAAGTGTTAAACACCGCATGGAAAATGCTTTCTGTTGAAAGGATAAAGCAAACAGACTTAACCCACTCCCATAACTGCCTTAATCTATTTCCAAGGTAGATATGTCTATCTGACATTTGGGACACCCCCAAATATCCCATGAAGACCTTGAAAAGAAACATCTTTTTGTCTGACACTACTGTGACCTTAATAAGACGTTGGATTTTTGGAATACAGCCGGCAAAATGGGAACTGATATCCTCACGGTGATTGTCTGTCATCAAACACTCACCTCACACTGACATAGTCATGACAACCTGTCTCTATGTAAGTTCCTTCTAAGTCAAATTCAAGAAACGAAAGCCTAACTTTGTGACCGAATGGGGCGATTATTCTCCATGTACACTGTATGTTCCTTGGATAGGACTTGGGGAAGTCTGGACTGCTGATTTTCACACTTGTTCTCGCATTTTTTATCGGAACTTCCCTATAAACATCATCTGTGTAATTTCCGCGGGTTGTGCACGCTAAAAAAGGAGCAGAGAGATGTAGAAAGGTTTATTTATATGATATCTCAAGTGTTATTATAATACTCCCCTTTTTTAAACTTCTTCAACAGAACGATTTTTTTTCCCGGACCTGGGGCCAGGGAGGCTTCATATAAATAATTTTAACAGATTCATAAACTCAGAAACATCGCCTTTATTTTTTGGTCTTGGTCAGGTAATTAGTGAGGATGATGACATTACTACTTGAACTTTAAAAAGGAACGTTCCGCGCATGCGTAAGGACATGACTATTTTAATTAGACATAACGGAAACTTGCACTGTGCTATGAAAGGATAAAGAGAAATCTTCCCAGGTGTAAGAGCAAAATTAGTCTTACGTGTAAAATAAGAGCAACTGTCCCCTATTGAATTGGTTTGATGATTTGTTTCTGTATAGCATTTTTTTCATTTTTTCCATAAATGGCCAGAAAAACCGGACTATACCTGTAAACTGGGCTTGAGTTATTGTTACTCTTGTTAGACCTTCAAAGAGATTCAGAAAAAAAAGATAACATAAAAACTATCCTGAATAAATTAGCAGTTCAGGCTGTGTTATTATCATACAGTGGACCTTAAACAATAACGTTTGATAGAATTGAAAGACCAAAAGTTTGCCTCTTACAACGGCGCTCGCTAGGAGGCAACAAAAATAATTGATAACGTTTTATGAAGAGTCCTTGTGCAGTATCAAAAGTTGTGTTACCAGACGGTCAGTAAGTTTTCCATGATAAAAAAAAAATGCATAAGAACTTGATGTAACATTTCTATTTTGTAAAATAAATGGTACAAACAATAAGGATAAAATATCTTTGATTTTCTACCCCATTATTTTTATCTGACGTAGCTAAGTGCGCAGTCTCAGATATTCACGTGATTTAGTTTGAAAATTAACCATTTATAATGATAAAGTAACAAAAATGACGAAAAAATCATAATGATAAAGGTATTTATAATGGTGATGATAATAATAATAGTAATGATACTTGTGATGATAATGAGGATGATAATAATAACAAAGAAGAAAAATGACGAAAACTACTTAAAACTGAACTGGCGGCTTGACGGCAAAAAAGATCGGATAGAAAACAACCATTTCACTTAATTTCTTTTTCTGTAATGTCACAGAACACTTCAACCGAAGCTAAGTATGTCCATTTAAATCTTGGAGTTCCGACTAACAATCTGTATGAATCATGCGCCAATCCTACGGCTAAAAAAGGTCTCAAACCAAAATTTAAATCGGTTTATATCCCAGAAAGTCCTCCGACGAGACGTAAAACACTAGCGACAGAAAATGATCTTGATCATTCAGCACACTGTCTACTGTTTTCAGTCACACAGAACGATTTCTTCTGATCGGTGCCATAATTAGTATGCAAGATTGGCTTGGAAATCGTCTCGCAAATTTAGATAAATCAAATTTATCTTGAGTTAAAATAGATCAAGAAAAAAACTAAGATTTATCTCTTTCTCTGCCGTTAAAGTTTTATCTAGGGTGTTTACTGGCAAATGTATACAAAATAAGCTTTTGAGGGGTAAATAAATCTGGCTCAAATGTCGAAAAGGCATCTAGTTTCGGAAGTAAAAAAGACTAATACGATGTTATAGATTTTGCATATATATCAGAAAACTAATAAAAGATTCTGACACCTGAGAAAATTAACTCAATTTTCAACTTTGTTTTCAAAATCTCAAGTGCAATGTAACAGATCGCAAATTTCTGGAATAAAAAAATCTGAGGTCGTAGAAAATATTGCAAATGAAAGGACAATGCGAAAAGTATCAAAACTCGAATTGACAATGACGAATTTCAAAAATTAAAAACCCGATCTAGCTTTATTTCTGAAAACCAGAATAACGAGTCCGAAGCTTTCCACGCGAATAAGAATCAAGTTAACCAATTGCATAACCAAATCTGTCATTTTTTTCTGCGTTTTTTCTTTCATTTTACCCTTATCAAATTTTTGTATATCAATTCTTTCGCACTTACCGTAGGCAAGTAAAATTGAGACTCCAATTCTTAAATCCACTCTTGAAGGCCGGTGCGCCTTTCTCTCCATAGTTTCCTTTCTTTGCATAGTGAACTTGTTAGGATAATTACCGCTGTATTCTAACCAGACCTTGTTTCACACCTCTCAGAAAAGATGATCACCTACATTTCTTTCAGCTCGCTCCTTTAATTTACTTCAGGAATAATTTCACTTTGTCTCCTATAGTCTCACACAGCGGTAAACGTCGTAACAATAGTCCAACAAAATCAATACGCTTCTTTGGTTTACTTCAACAATTTCAAATCTCGCTCGGAGTGCGTGCGCTTCTTCTTTCATGATCCATTATTTTTGTAAATTCACAACAAAGCCATTCGAAATGCGACAAAAGAATTGATTGATCGATAAGTGACGCATGTCAAGAAATTAAGCGAACCGGAGCAAA